ATCAAGAGATTAAGAGGAAGGATGCATTAAAAGGCAGTCTTCCCCAGGCTGCAGCTTTTTTTTTTTTTTGTAATGAATCACAATTCAATAATCCTTAGCAGCACAGCCTACATGGGAAGTGATATCTGCCATGGTTGGAAGATGTCAAGGCTGATCAAATGGAACAAAAATATTTCAGCTCCAGAGGCTGGCAGGGCCAGTTTTTGCAACGATGGGATGGGGGTGGGGAGTTGGTCCTCATTTCTGAGCTGGAAGAAATGAGAAAGTCTTCAGACTGGTGGGATGGGGGAAGATGTATTCTGAAAGCAACTGAAAGTTGTCTTTCAAGTAAAAAGATAAAATTGCATTAAATGTAAAATACAAAATTTCCAAAGTGGACCAAATTCTGCCTATCAAGCTTTGGAATGGGTTCAGGAAGGTGAACAGTTATTTTTAGGACCGGACAGCTGGCCAGGGAAGGCAAGGCCCCTTTGTCAGGAGAAGGCACAAATGGGAAAAGAAAGGAGCTAGAAGGTTCTCTGCAGAGGCACAGACAGGCACCTCCCCAGCAACTGAACGGTTTGATCCATGTTTAATGTTCTGCAAGATTGCGCAGATTTCAACGTTCCCAGGACTAATCCTTTTCAACCTAAGTGTAAAAACCAGAAAGGCAATGAAAAATAAATAATTGAAAATAATAATAAGTTTTAAAAATAATAATAAAAAAAAATTCCTTTGACAAAAGGGAAGATTCTCAGCTGCTGAGAGAAATTTGGCCTGAGAGAAAAACCTGTTGGTGCTTTCAAATTTATTTAACACCTTTGTCTCCCCCATTGCTCCTCACCTACTCTTCTCCTGTTTTCCCCAAAAGAGGAAAAGAAAAAGATATCCAGCACAGTGGTGATGGCTGTGTGCTTTTTTTTTTTCCACTTTGGAGTCTCAGTAGAACTCCTTGATCATTTATTACAAAGAATTCCCAATGCCACCAATCAGTCTACGAGATCAAGAGACCAATATTCCCATGGCTTGAACTTAAAAAAAAAATTGATGAATGACTCCAACTTGCAAATGCTACATTTTGGAAAAAGACTGATACACTTCTTTTGGCGGAGGGGGGGACAAGAACAGATAGACCCTTTTATGGTATCAAATAAGTGCTTGGCATCTTCCCCATTAAACCAAGACTGTCAGAAAGAAGATCAAAGTCAGTAAAGAGAACCTGACTTAACACACTTACTTATAAATGACCAAGGTACACATATCCAGTTTCCAAGATTCTGTAAACTAACCCCTTTCTCACTGTAATAAATCTGCCTATGCTAAATATGTGAGAAATTTGTTTTTTTTATTGTGAGATACCGGGAGAAGCTTGACACAAATGCTCAGGAAAGCAATTGGTGGTTGGTTTTCCAACTGGTAGGTGACATTGAGTCTAGAATCCATCAAATACTACCCTGAAAGTGTTCCATATTAGATTGTGTGAGGGTAGCAACATTGCCCGATTTCTTTGCTAAGGTGTGGTAATGTTAGGCTATGTGGGCAGCACAATTTATATACACATGATTCCCTTCTAATTCAAGAATGTGAGGAAAGTGTTTTATATGCCCATGAGAAAGAACCCTTTAACAGTACATATAAGCATACAGCTATCACATACTACAAAAGAAATATGAAATATGATTATATCATGGTATATCTATTCACACTATATGAACATGTAACATTTTATTTTGCTTCAAAGTAATTGGATTGTAACTCTCTGGGGCTGGACAACATGAGCAATTAAGCTTGCAAGCCTCAGAGAAATTCCCTTAAACCACATTTGCAAAGGCTGTGTTCATTAACACAGCTGCTGTAGGTAATGGTACCCAGTTGATCTATACTATTAGCATTTCAGGAATCCTGCTGTTATACTAAAAGCACTGGTTCTTTTTAAAAATTTCAGTGCAAAGACAAAATAAAATTTAGATAGGAAGGCTATACAAAAGATTGATAAACTGAAATTACTAAATTGAATTCAAAAGTGGTAGGGAGAATAAGTTTTTTCTTTTGACTCTAAGAAGCTCTACAAACATAAATCTTGTGTTTGCCTTGCCCACAATGGAACTGGAAGAACAATGTCTGGTAGCCAATGGTCCAAAAACTTTCACGAGCAATGAGAAAGTTCCTTAGTCTTTAAAGAGACTACTTCTTTAAAGTAGAAGGATGAAGCTCACCCTGGCCAACCTTCTGATCAAAGGTTATAGATTGGCCAGGGTGAGCTTCATCCTTCTACTTTTGAGGGAAGGAGTTTTAGGATCAAGTAAAGGTTAGGAAAGGGAAATAATCTAAGGCCCAGAAAATATGGAAGACTTTTCCATATTTCTTTGTTACCCAAACTTTTCATTCTTTCCTTCTTTTCTCTATTATTTTTTTCTTCCTTACTATCTGTATGTCTGCCTATTTCACTACTCATTTTCATTTTTCCTTCCCTTTTTCCTGTTCTTGATGAAAGTTGGACCCAAGGCAATGAACAATTAACTAGTAGTCTTCCAAATTGCTACTCCCAGGAATTATTTCCACATCCTGAAGTAGTCAGAATATTGGACTTGTTACTGGGGCAAGAAGCTCACTCAATGACTTTGGGCTAGACACACTCTTTCAAAGCTAACTCTCCACTCTCTCTGAAGGAAAGGTAAAGTACAAGGGTTATTTTTAAAACTTTTCTAAGTTAATGCATTTTTTTAATACCCATATTACTTGCATATCTACCCTAAAATAATATTGTAAAAGGAATTCCTACCTCAAAAAAGGCAGTGACATCTCTATAAACTCAACTAATACAACAGTTAATAGTGCCAGGATCAAAGGAGAAATAACATGGGAGACTAAAACTAGAGCAACTCCCCCCCCCCCCCTTCTTTTGTTGTCATTCATAGTTGCTGTAGAGAAA